ATACTGTTGCTACTTAAAGTTGGAGCATTGTCGTGGGACTGTGTTATGTCTTCTATAACAGCGTCTTTAATATTAAAAGATAGCAAACTAGCTATATGTCTCAGATACCTTATGGGTAAAAGTAAATTATCCTCAAAAAGTTTCAAGTTCCTTACGAACTTATTAATGTCATAACAAAATATAACGTCACTATGACGGCAAGTCAAATTATGAATGTGCGAATTTAATACTTATTACGAGGGATGCCTAGGTTAGAGCAGTAAGCGAATGCACTTAGTATGATTTTACACCCACACTTCTCAAGAACACGTCAATGCTACTATTTACTTCTTTTTTACTAATGTTATTACCATCACCTATTATAAGAATCACTATTGTATATTTAGCAAAGTTGCAACCACTTAACAGCGTAATAATTTGATTAAAAGTAGCTCCTGGATAGCAATAGTTGACTACCCTTTGTTTTAAGTGGTTACTTAGGTGGTGGCCTAGTCCCACGCCTATTTTATCAGAAAAAACTACCGTTCTTCTGGATGGCCCGGTAGGAGTTCTAATAGTCTTGGTTGACCGTTGTCTATGTCGAACTTCAGCTGTTGTAGTGGAGCAGATACGTTTTCCTGCAGCAACACTGGCATACGATGCACGTGCTGGTTGCGTTGATGATGTGGGTGGTGCGGATGAAGTCTGATTTATTTCTACTGGATCATTTGTTTCACTAAGCTTATCCACACAGTACCACTCGTCTGTACCGCTCATCCACCGTACAGCAAGGACATCTGGAATTTTATTTTAAAAGTAAGCTTTGAAGCCTTTATGACACCCTGTCATAGCCGGAGCGCTATCCGTAGCAACTGATATAATATTTTTCAAAGGAATCTCTTTCTCATCACAAAACTTTTCCAATGTATTGAATATGGTTTCGTTTTTTGTATCGGTCTCTAAATTTCTAGCAAACAATAGTTCTTCACATATTTTCTCATCTTTAATAAACCTCACGTAAGACAGCAACAATGCTTCATTACTTGGCAAAGTGGATACATCGAGCTGAATTGAGAATTGACTAGTCCTCAGATGATTGCACAATGATTATTCAATGTTTTCAGCTATTTCATCAATTCGTCTTTGCACAGAATTATTACTCAAAGTAATTTTTCGGATAATATCTGCGGTTGGTTTATGAAGCACAGTAGTTATTGTTGGCAAAATTAACTCTTCTCCGGTGTTGTGTGGTTTACCTTTTTGAGCAATTAACAAAGAGATATTGTACGAAGCTCGAAGTCCGTCGTCATCTTACTTAGCAGCCGCCGAAAAGGGTTTTGCTACACTTGGCTGAGTATTATGCTTCTTCTCTAGGTCTTGAAAATATACTACATTCTTGTCCTTCTTATCTGGATGCATTTTATTCAAATGATCTTGCAGTCTTGAAGGCTTAATTGCTTCACTTGAAAATGTTTTTAGACATAGAAGGCACAAAGGCGACGATGGGTTTGTGGGATTTTCAATGAATCCAAATTTAATATTGAGAAATACGTAAGTAAGAGTTGAACTTAAGTACTTATTATTATTATCTATTACGCGCGAAACCGCAAATAAAAATATAATAAATATTACGTTGTTTATATAGGATTGCATAAGCAGCACGCACCGACAGGAATAAGACAAAGATGCATAAACTCGTTTAACATATTCGACGCTCAATCGTACTCAACAAGTAAGAACAAGTATTCTATGAACCAGCCGATTGATACAGGAATGCACAAATCGGGTTATTTAACAAAAACTTGTTAAAACATGATTGCCCGCACTCTTGTTATTTACGAAAATGACCTATCTAGGAATACTAATAACTATTAAAATTGGAAACTGTCTGTTGCCTTTTCATTTGTTTGTTTGTGTCTACTTTCATTTCGAAACCCACCGATTGACATGATTTTTATTTTATTTATTCAATAAAGACAGGACAGATATATGAACTACACGGAGAGAAATATCGAATCGAGTTAGTTTGAGCAATCTCTTAATTAATATTAGTTGATGTTCACAAGTTGTAGTCGAGAGTCAAGAGCTCAGTCGGTGTCTAATGGTCGTATTCCAGAACTCTACTCAATGCTCAAGTCAGGATTTGAGTATTGCAGTGAGCACTGAAAATCATACACAAGTCCTTGCCATTAGGGTCGTATTTCCAGTGCAATCCTGACTTGAGCAATGCTCAAGTTAGGATTGCACTGGAAACACAAGCACTGGAAATACGACCCTAATGGCAGGGGCTTGAGTATGATTTTGAGTGCTTTAAACCATACTCAAATCCTGACTTGAGCATTGAGTAGCGTTCTAGAATACAGCCCTTAGAGTCTTCCTAGATGAAATTACAAATCTTCCCCTAAGCCTCTACACAATGCCCCCATTTTTTTTCTGGGTCTCTTAGGCCTGCTGCGCCCACAAGGGGGCGTTATCGCCCACTTTGGGAAAGGCTGCTCTATGACATTCCTTCGAGCACCTCGTACCTATCTCTGATAGTTTCCGTTATAGAAGACCTTGAAATTTGTATGGCGGCAACATTGTTTACTTCCGGCGGAAATTGCCCAGGGTGGACCTCATAAAAGTGCACAAACGGTTCCTCCATATATTATAGGTTTGGCAGGTCGTTGATCGCTCTTTCATATTTCCCACATTCAGGTCATCTCGTATTTTTCCCTTTGCTTTGGGACCTATCCGCGTACAACGGTATAAATTTTTTTTTTTCCACCATATCGGGAAGTATGCGTTCTATTTCTATCAGTGAGTCGGAAAGAGGAGCTTTATGTATGAAACCGATACCGTTCTGACGCGACACGACACGATACGCCAGACAAATATAAATCCGGCCTAAATCGTACACGTCTGTTATTAATTTAGGTCGTAAACTACTTATATTACGTTTTATTTTATAAATTTAGGGTCCCATCACGTACTTAACGGGTTTGGCTGTTTTAATTACCTCCATCGTCTTATCGTATTACTACTATTAAGATCAAATATTGTAGATTATCATCATACTTATTAATTAACATTATCAGTGAGTGTAGAATAAAACCCTACAACCATAGACAAACAAGAACAGAATTTTAAATCAGAACTAAAAAGAGCGCCTTTGTGATATAGTTTGTGAACTTACAGATATGGTTTATTTTAAATTGATAGGTACTGGAGAAGAAGAAAATAGTTTCGACATTTACGACTATAGTTGCAAACTTTCATTCTAATCTAGTGTTTTACTTATACAGAGTATGATTATTATGTATGTACCTACCTTCACGGGTATTTTGTTGTGTACAACTGTTTTTAACCCCCAAATTATAATTAAAGACATTTTACGTCGAATTAGAGCAAATTTGTATCAGCCGCCAAGAAACGCTTGTATGGCGGTCACATTAAAAAATGGCGAACATGTAAATGTTGATCACAAATTAATAATCAAACACTCCTTGTCTTTTTGAACATAGAGGAAAATGTCAGTTCATTGCGCAAGTGTTGCCTGCTTGTCTGCCGTGCTTACAATACTAACAGTAAGTATGTTTGAAATACACGGCAGGTGTATCTACGGCAGCTGATTGCAGTCGATAAAATATTCTACAGACTGTCGGTTACGCTCACAGACGTCACAAGCGCTATTTAGTGATAAACCTCCTTCGACACTAAAGCGATTGATTAAATCGAAGACGCGGGCGCAACACGTATTTAGAATTATGATTTTTCAAGTTTGTTGATTTTATATAGCCGTGAAATATTAATATAGTAAAATAATACCAGAATAAGATAATTAATTATTAATCCGTGTTTTGAAAAAGTTCCTCCGGAATACTAAAAAACAAAAACGTATTACCTATAGAATATTTTCCTAACATTTTCTAAGGTCTTAAGATTAAAAAAAATAAGATTTATTAAAAATAATAATACCAACAAGCTTTAATATGTATGCCGATACGTAATAGCTACTCACCTTCCCAATCCTTTTGTTTCTTATGTACCGACTATGTATGTACACTTATCGTAAAATTTGACCAAAACCATGACGAAGCGGCCGTACCACTGAAACTGAATGCATTATACGCTCGTTCGATATTCATGGTCTATTAAAGAAAGACAATGAGATAACATATACAAGTCACTGAAGAAAGACCACAAGTGTACCACACAAAGTAAAAGCTGCAATGATGCATTACGAATGTATTGCGGCATACACTCGTTGGCATATTCGTGTTCCCGAAATTCATTCAAAATTAAAATACGATTTTAAAATAAATTGGACGTAGTTAAACAAAAATTATCTGATGCACACGCAGTCACATTCGAGATATGGCAGTTTGAAGTTTAAAAATGTTTCTCACTCTTGTTTTATTTTAAAAAACTTGTGTCATGTTTCTCCTTATTTATGTTTGTATGTTGGATTTGCTGATCCAAGAGGTTAGACTTTACGAACCGTTTGGTACATATAACTTATTTTTCGATAATTCTGTGGATTGGATCTTTTTTGCTTAGCTACGTCCAATTATGCATAATTCGCCCTTATACTGGGAAAAACAATTATTTCACAAAATATCGATCTTGAAATAAATGCAATTGAAATTTCAACGACGATTTTTTCTTGGGCGTACCATGGTCATCCTACGTAAATTTGTAACTGTGATTCCACATTTCATATTTTACCGACATTTGAAAATGTTTGCATTTTACATATACAATTTTGTCGCGTTATCCTAAATTAAGTCATTTTCTGTTAAAATTCCAGATAATTGGTTTTCGCAGTATAACGACGAATATTCTGATTACAAAATTACTTAACTGTGGAAGGAAACGTCCCTGTTTATTCATCTATTCGTAGCTGTGGTGTATTTGCAGTTTCTAATGGCACAATTAGGCATTTTTCGCATTTTCGACTGATGTTTAACTTACATGAACTTCTTTTTCTTTCTTTCTGAAGCGTAACAGAGGCAAGCGTTTTAAAGCTTACATTGGGCACGCGAAGTAGGCACACTTGTTGCGTTTATTTAAATATAGTCAGGTTATTTGAGTTGTCAATTTTTGTAAGTTAATAACATACATACACTACATTTAGAACTGTGTCTATTAAAAATGCAAAGAGGAGACATATTTTAAAGATTTTCATTTTAATTCAGTATAGACAAATCTGTTTGTCCTTATTAAAACGTATGATATAAAAAATATTTTGATAGTAGTAGTCCAACTGTCAAAATAAGAATAAACAAGGCAATAATGAAATTAGTAATTATTAAAACATCGTAACATTCACAATTCTTAATTTTTTAACAAAATTTTTGTTTCACAATCTATTGATAAATCGAAACAAAAGGACTATTTAAAATATTATGAAAACTGGCAACCCCGCAAATATAATTTTACTCCGTCTTCATTATAAACAACTGCTGTTCTTCTCCTGCCCCTCAATTGACCACGATACTTTCATATTCGAACTTCTGGCAATCAGTGTTCCACTCCCCACCTCCATAACAAGTTTATTATATTTATGCAACAAAGATGTTTACAATGTTCTGGCCTTATTTATTAAAAATAATAATACCAAGCTTTAATATGTATGCCGTATACGTAATAGCTACTCACCTTCCCAATCCTTTTTCATCCAAATTCCGTACCTCTTCCAAAATCTGTAATTCTGCTTTCAAAACCCTTTCATTGGCTTAATGCGAAGGCAAAGCCACTAATATAAAAAAACTGCTGTAATAATAATATAATATTTATTCTCCAATTATGCCATGTTTATTTACATCTCATAATTCCTCGCCTGATCCCTTTTTCACTTTTTCTCCAACTTTCAAATCTCGTTTTCAAATTACAATCCATGATATTACAAGTTTTAAAAACAAGTTAGTCAAAACACTTGAAAACACTGAAAGTGGCTAGAATGCTTACCGCGAAAAGCCAAGAGAAATAAGAAAAAAAAGAGCAATGCAAATTTTCGAATTGATCAGAGCGAATACAAAAGTGCACAATAACCATTTTCGTGGTTCACCTACATCAGTTTCACCACAGACCATCACGAACACGCTTCTTTCGGTTCAAGCACTTTGAACTCGAAGAACGGGCGTGGTCACTTTTCCCGCATGAATTACAGGGTTTCACATAATTGTCGCCCTGGATTATTTATTTATCTTGTACTTTCACTTGAATTCTTCATTTAAGTATTATTTATTTATAAAAGCATTGGCTTCAGAGCCATCAGCTTAATGGTAACAAATAATAAAAAAACGCACGTGTAAAAAATTTAACTACTCTGAGGGTCGTATTTGCCATATTATATATATTATTATATTGCCATTGGTCGTATTATACGCGTTGTGCCAGTCAATTTTAATATACTGTATCACCACATGGGGTGGTGCACATAGAACTACCATGAAAAAATTAGAAGTGGCACAACGTGCACTATTAAAAGTTGCCACATTTCGTCCTTACCAGTTCCCTACGTTTGAGCTTTATAAACATTTTAAAGTTCTAACGGTGCGTCAGTTGTTCGTCCTCCAAACCATTCTGAAGAAACATTCTATGTTGACCTATAACTCCGACTTTACCAAAAACAAAAGAAGACATGACATAGTATGCCCCCGCACTCAAACTAAATCCAAATTTGTAAACAGATTTTTGATCTTTTTGGGCCCGTACTTGTACAATAAGTGCAATGCAATAAATAAAATTTATCCGCTAAATATGTATAAGTGCAAAAAATTGATAATTGATTGGCTGTCGAAAATGAATTATGATGAAACCGAAAATCTTTTAAGTATTATTTCCTGAGCCTCACTATGCACACTTATATTCATTCATACACACACTCACTCACTCACTCACACACACACACACACACACACATACACACTTCAATGCATGCTTATCATTGTTTTTATTTTAAATTTTTTGTTTACTTCATTTTATGGCTGTTTTATTAGTTTCAAGTTAATTTTAAATTTGTTTAAATTCTGTATTCTCACTTTATTATTTATTTATACATGACAGGCAAATGACTCCACTCCACCTGATGTTAAGTGGAAAGTGGTATCCAAACGCGAAGGAACCCATAACCCATGTTGGCCACATATCTACTGGAGGTGGAGGCCTGGTGACCTAAAACACAGGGTATCCTAGTTTAGGCACCAGTCTCCACAAATTGCTATTTCATAAGATCAAATTTTTGTGGAGGAAATAAAGAAATTTATTATTATTATTATTATTATTCTAGAACTCTACTCAATGCTCAAGTCAGGATTTGAGCAGACTTGAGTATGATTTCAAGCACTGGAAATACGACCCTAATGCCAAGGACTTGAATATGATTTTAAGTGCAATACTCAAGCCCTGACTTGAGTATTTATTGCGTATTGAGTAGAGTTCAGGAATACACCCTTAATTCTTCATAAAATTTGGCGGCAAAAAATATTCATTTGTTTAGACACTGATTTAAGGTTTTCAGCCTCTTCTCAAGAATAAAAATAATTATTTATGGATACAATACGGCTTATTATTCAGTAAATATGTTACAATAATCCAATTAAGGGTTAAATTTACCACTTTCAGGTCGGTTCGTATTTTTGCCTTATTATAATATTTAGGTAAGCATTATGCATTTTGAATTATGGAAGTAATTAAAAGAACTTTGTGTCGTGTATAATTCATTTATGGTCAGTACATCAGTTACCAACGTAACAAAAATCGTGTCAGTCGTACCATATATCTAAGTAATTCGAATACGTTAAACCAAACAAATTAAATAAATGCGTGATATCTACAATACCTAAAATATTGAAAGCTAAAGAGATTATGAGTTAAGAGCGCTGGCGAGGCGCAACCGACGCCGCGGCGAGCGGGGCGATTGGCGGGAGCCTCGCAATAAATACACAAGGAACTTATAAAAATGTAGTCGTCGTCGTCGTCATTCATACACACGACGTAAATTTCATCGAGGTACGTGAACACTTCCGTCAAACTCTCTACGTCTGTAAACCCATATTTGCTCTGGTACTCATATACAGGAAAATTCATAGTTTGAGGCCGGGTAACCGGTCTGGTTGTCTGGTACATTATAATTATAATTGCGGACCTTCTCCACGTGCGGCTTTGAGATTTCATTAACATTGTTAATTGTAATAGATACAATGTGACAAAACGTCAGCGTCTATTACGTCTCACTACTTATGTTTGCGGGTCTGTGGGCGCAGCGATTGTTTCAGTTTGACGCTAAGTACTACTACTTTGCACAGCCAATCCTTCCCATTGAAGGGCAGGCCTTCCTTTAGAATAAAGAACGTATTCAGGCCTCTGGGAAACTACTAGACAGCACCTCGCCGAGGTTGCGAGCGCCTGTCGCTAATTCCGTTCGAGTCGAGTGTATGAAGGGCGAGATTTACAACATTGCTTAATAAATTATTATTATTAACTATACATTTCATCTTGGTACAAAATCGCGTCTTGGGAACTACACCTACGTTATATCATACCTCAGTATTAAGTGTAAATAATTTGCAAATCGCATCTATATATACCTAGCGTTGTAAATACACGGAGGCGTCACATGACGTCCTACGACATCGCACCGTCAATAATGATGAAATTCGGAAATACCACTTTCGGATACCCGGCAGAAATTCAAAGAGTAACTAACATACGAATTAAGACTAAAAATATTGGTTTTAATTTCAAATAGAATTTTGTACAACAACATTTGGCACGAGCCAAACGGTAAATCTGGCCGGTGTCAGGTGGGTCGTTTTTAATTTTTTAAATCATTTTTTAATCTGACTGTCCCAAAAAATGACTTATCGAATTTCGTCATTTTACTTTTGAGAATGCGATACACACTTCGTTCAATCCATCTTATGGTAATGCAATTGTTAATATGTCTAAGATAGGTATCGAAGTTGACCGATTCGGGAAACAATTCGTTCCTATTTTATTCAATAAAGTCGTGAAATATCATAAGAACGATTTATGCGGGATACCGCAGAACGGGTCGCTCCACTCGCGCAGGGCACACGCGAAGCCTCTTCCGTAGTACGACTCATGCGGCGGCATGTCGCCCTTCAATTAGCGTTTCCATAGAAAACAGTTCGAGCTGTACTGATATGCCCTCTTAACAAAAACGTTTCTGTGGCGGTTCACTAACGTAAAGCAGAACGAAGAAACTCCGTTTTGCCCCGCGTCAGTGGACGGCCGTGAACCGTTCGCATCGAGACGGCGTGCACCGGCTCCGTGCGCCGCGGCGCGGCCTCGTCGCGAGGCCAATCGCGAAGCGCCTTCGGCGTCTGGGCCCTCTTCTCGAGCGGCGAGAGACGGGCCGAGACGGGCCGAGACGGGCCGAGACGGGCCCAGACGCAACGGCCCGCCCGCCGCGCCGTCGGAGCGGGCTCACCGCGCGTCCTTGGCCGTGAGCTTCTCGATGAGCTCCTGCAGCGGCGCCAGCTCGCGCCGCTCGATCAGGTTGAACTCCTGCGGACAAGGGACAAGGAGGGTGCGCCTTTCACTCGCATCGCTTACCTCGCTGCAAACGAATAGTCGTACCTACCTGCACGAAAAAGATGAAGTGCTTGAACGAGGTGTTGAGGTGAGCCTCCTCGCCCAGCTGCACCACCTCGGGGAAGTGCTGATGGTAGATGTGCGCGTACACGCGGAACAGCCGTTTGAGGATCGTCTTCGCCATGCCCAGGAAGTTTTTGGGGAAAGGCACGCCTGCGTACGTAACATGCTTATACGTAATGTACGATACTCTGTCTCGATTTTTCACTACCGCCGGTTTCGAACCGACCTGTTTCTATTCTCGGTAACATTTGCAAGTCCGGTCACCGATTAGGAGTTGAAGGCGTACCTATTTTGGAAGGGAAGAGCGTCTCGTCGTCGAGCTGGTCCTGCGCCCAGGTCATGAGGTAGTCGATGTACTTGGGCGCGGAGCACTTGATGGGCTTCTTGACGGTATGGCCGTCCGCCCAGTGGTACTCGTACTTGGGCCCGGCCGACATCACGGGGCACGACTGCTCCGTGCAGAACTCTGTGATCGTGCCGTACAACATGTTGATCTGGTTGAAGAAGTCCACCGCTGTGCACAAAAACGTGTCCGTTAAACCTTTACATTATCACAAGATGACACCGCGAAGACGTGTGACGTCACATCCCAGAAAAATGAGAAATGAGACGGGCACGGGGAAGTCAAACGAGTCGCGAAATTGCCTGCTAAAGAGAGTCCTGCAGCAGCAAGACACGCGTCTCTCTAGATTCGGCCCGTTTCTCGCAATAAAGGCCCGTACATAAATATACCTACTTCACGCCTTTTTCCCATCGGGGTAGGCAGAGACAAGTCTTCCACTTGCTACGGTCTTGACATGCATCTTTCGCCTCATCAACACGCATCAATACTTTCATACACGTTCATCGGTAAGGGGTACGCCCGTTTCTAATAAAAATCGTCACTAGGTAGCGCAGGCCAAATGACCATGAAACTCTGTGTATTGGTTAATAGCTCATGTAAATGTTGTCGCAAATAACATAATAAAAAATGTTCTGCAAGTCTAAACTAAATAAAATAAATCTATACTGCTGCAGCATGGTGAGGACAGCCCGGTCCATCCCTTGCAGTATAAATCGCTGTACTATTGGGAACAGTTTTTATTAGTTAATTAATTGTATTACATACGGTCATTAGGCGTTATAAAACATTTGGAACAGTTACATTTCCCTATTTGTCTACTGTGGAAATACCAACACAGAAACCACAAACTCGTGATTCAAACTTACCTGGTATATTGGTTATGCTAACTGAACCTAATGGACAAAACTTGGTTTCTCGGAAAGCGAAATCGTCACATAATTAGGGCTTAGGACTTCGTCATTTAAAACGATTAGGTATTACAACTGGATGCTGAGTTTTGCGGAAAAGACACCTAAAGATTTTTTAGTTGTTTTTGATAGTTTGACATTTGATAAAATTTACTTGTAAAAATGAAAACTTTTGCTGTTTAACACGAAAAATATCAACCAACACGATTATATCATGTTGGTTGATTATAAAATAACATTTGGACCACTAGCCTCCACATACATCTACCCATACAATTCAGCAATAAATTACAGGACAACCAATGAAATAAAATGTACCATGCGATACATCTAAGATAATAATCTAACCGACCGCATTAGTGGCAAAACAGGACGGTAACTCTTGTAATGAGGTAAGTCTCTACACATGACAAATATTATAAATTGTCCATGTGTTAAGATTTTTTTTGCCTAAATGGCTTTATGTCGATTTCCTTTTGATAAATATCAACTTGAGCAGTATGAACCGAAGGTTTTAAACGTTACAACACCCTGCAATTACTCTCAAATGGTTAGTTTAAAACATCAACGCATTTTTGCCTCGGCATTGAGGATGACTTACCTACAAGATAATGAAAATATCAATTTTATGAAATTCTTTGTAATATTATGAGCCACAAAATAATGTATACCGTCGGGGCTAGTGCAATTTCATGTAACATTGGATAATTCTGCGCATCGGACAAATGAAGTCAACATGAGTATTCATGCCAGTGGAAGTAGTCATTTGATTGGGACCCGTTCTATAAACTCTAATTGTGATTGATCGACGGAAAGCCTGAAATCGGTTAATAACAATACCGCGAATCTATTACCGATGAGTGGCAAATCCGCGTATATAACTGGGTTTTAATTCGGTTTTAACCCATTTCTGTCTAAAATTCTGGGCGGAAACCATTATACACGGTAATATAAATTAATTCCTGTATTTCATTATGTATTTTTATCTTTTTTATTTATTTAGTAATTTCTTTCAGGCCACGTGACCCATATAATATACACCTTAAGGATTAGCGTGCTTACAGTATAACAATATAATAAACGAAATAACTAAACTATACGAATTGCACTTGTCGGCGACGTGTGGCGCAATCTGGTGTCAGGTACTTAATCGGCCGCGGAAACGCCGATATACGACACCTCCTCCTTCTTGAAGGTCGACAGATCTTCTGTCGATATTCTCGCCACAAACGAATTAAAATTCACGTTGCGGCGGGACACCAACCACTCGACCCTCAGGTTGTATATTTGGCTTTTAGTCTGACGTACATACTCCACCATCTCTTCAGACTTCGCGGAGTAATGTGGTCGCGACAGGTACTGTAGCGTCATGGCCGGACGCAGCAAAACGATAGATCCTGTCGGTGCTGTGCCACACAGGTTACGGCTGATGGGCTTTCCTATTCCTCTACGCCACCTTTGTAAAGCCGTCTCCTCGTCACACTGAGCCGTCTGTCTCTGTGGTTTTGCAACTTTAGAGACTGGCACACGGGGATTGCTTTTGCTCTTAGCCGGCTGGTGGAAGCGGCTAAAGCAGTGACTGCACGTGCAGGGGCTGACATGCACACGCGGGACGTGCGGCCAGCAGGGCGCGGCACATCACGCGCAATGGCAGCAGCGATCGGTGACGCAACCATTTGTGCCGACTCGACACTGCTGATGGATGCATTTTGCGCCCCACGACGCGTGTTTGCATTAGTTGGATCACTACTGCACTAACGTAAATTGGATTATAGTTAATCAAACTATTTTTCCGGATTTAAATCGCGTATATTTGTTTTTTCAAACAAACCGACGTTTCGGATCATAGTTGTCTTGATGAAATAAATAAACAAAATAAAATAAATTAGGGGCTTCTGGATCTACATACCGAAGCAGCGTTGCTTAATAACGCAACTTGGGCACGCAGCTCACGTATAGTGTTATCTGAAGCCTCGACTTCACACTCAAGTGGGATGCTGCAGAGCCACGTTTTGTAAATGAGGTTTCAGATATACTAGTTAGACTAACAATGTGACTGCGGTGCCCCAACACAGTCCATGCAGCACTTACTGTTGTGCCCCTTGTGTTCTAATACCTGTCCGATGCAAGATCTCTACGCGCCCAGGGACAGAGCAGTCAAGGTAGCAACGTACTATTCAGGATCGTTATAGTTCGATCGGTAGATCGTTATAGTAGTATAGTAGTACTGAATAAACAATTTTTATTTTTTATTTATTTAGTTCTAAAATAAAAGGAGTACCGCCACGATAAGAAGAAGACTACAATTATAGTTGTTTATTAGTTCTTCTACCAATGTTCAAGTTGACAGGTCAAGTGGGAGTAAAATTAATATTTATTTTATGACTGACATCCCTAAACTATAATAATAATAACAACGCGCACACATTCATGCATAGGGAAACCCTGTATTGCGGGTGCCATGGATACCCACGTATACAACCACAAATTACAGCAAAACTTACGAGAGAAATAAATGTAGGCCATACAAATATTTCTCCCGGCCTGAGAATCGAACCAGGGCCACGTTCGTTCACGGGCGTTCGGCCACGGAGGCAGTTGCCCAGACTAACTGTGAAAAGACCTGATGATCTTTAATCGGCTCAACAGATGTCCATCAAACATAGCTAGACCCATCTCGATTATATTAGCCTTCAAATAAAAATAACCGCTTTTAGATCATTCCATAGGTTTAAGAGCTACGATTCCGCACACTGACACACAAACAAAGTCTTCAAACTTGAAACTCCCCAGAAATTTTACTTGGCTTACTTACACAGTAGTAGCCAGGAAATTTAGTATCCTTTCCAAGGTGAGGCGTTACTTCACACTGGGACAGTTGAAGCTGCAGAGCCTTAAACACCGCCGTAAAGTTGCCTGCTTATCGGTATTCATCATCTATCATCGGGGGACTAGGCGTAGGGCGTTCCACCCTTATGTTTTGGATCTTCCAAGGATCCGCACGAACCGTTTCAATGCCACAATATATAGCGAATAGCTAAGGAATGCGCAATTTCTTTGTATTAAAAAAAAACTCAATTTGCCTTGTAATCATTGTATGCCTTTGATTTCAATACTGCGGAACTTACGTATGAGTTGGCACTTCTTAAATTAGTGGTCAAATAAAATCGGCGTAAATGTCGTGACACGGAGTGATAACAATAGATTCTCATAAATCATGATAATTAGCATGATTTATGGGAAATCTATTGTTATTAGTCCGTCTACAACATAAATTAATGCGAATTGTGCAAAAATGAAAGCCATCGAAATAAAAAAGTAATAATGTTAATACCTTCTCCTGTAACATTTTGTGTAGTGTAGATATTTTTGTACCAGTACCAATTTTTGTACAAATTTTGCATTAATTTTAGTGAAGAATTATATAATATGATAGAACATAATACACTTCAACTGTTATTTTCACACAAATTTGAAAATAAAATGCAATTTTCAGTTAGTCCAAAATGTCTTAAAAGCAGTGACAGCCTTAATCTTATTTTTTTTAATAATAGTGTTGTAATCAAATTAATCACTGAATTTCTCCGAGTTTATTGAGACCAATTCATCATGTACAAATTGACTCATCCGAAGAACAAAGTCCGATGTTATTATTAGCATAAAGCGAATAAGTAGATTACGAGAATAATTTCGTTATTCAAACTATGTAAAGGTGTTTTGAGAATTTATATATCTTATTTCGTTTCGGAAATATAAAATTGAACAACGGTCAATCTGACATCCACAGCGAAGAAGAACGAACGAAATGTACTATGTCCTGAGAACAAGTAGTCTTGCACATAGATCTTTGTTCTACGGATGAGTCGAAATGTGTTCACTGTGTATGATTAAATATCAAATATTATACATGCAGGTCATACTAGCTCAACTTATGATTTTGACTCTTCTTCTGATGAAAGTGAATAAAAATTTAAACCATGAAGTTTTTTGTTTTAACTGACTTCAAAAAAGTCACTCTATTTTTTTTATGTTACGCGATAACATTACGGCATTTGTGAATCGATTTTGATGATTTTGATTTTGTTGGAAAGAGGGTACCTCAGTATTGCTCCCATTTAAATTTGAAGAAAATATTCCACCTCCAAGCGTGACAAACTATGGGATGAATCCAGTTTCACACACTTTCCAGTAATCAATTCCAATTACTGGGATTATGTTGTTTTGCTGTTTTGTTGTCGTCGAGTTGCGGAAACCAGCCCGTTGCACCAAGTACCAAGTACCAAGTATGTCGTTTTGATTCAGAATTTTGCTATTTAACTACAGGTTGTGCTTGTGAACTCTGTTAATGTAACTACTTTACAACAAAAACTACAGGTTGTCATTGTGACCATTTAAAATACTTACTTGTTATTATTTGTACTAAAACTCTATCTTACTCAAATAAATGTCAATTGTTCTATCTAGAACTGTAAAACCAATGACACAAAAAATGATCTAATTGACCACAGACCCATAAAATTTGAACTGATTTCTCGTGCAAATTGTTTGATATGGTTACCAATACATATAATTCATATTCCTAGTGTGTTTGTGATGACTATAGTTTATCTTTCTCTATTATATTCTCCCCTTATGCAGTGTGCTCAAGGAATCTCACTTCAATTTTCTCAATTTAGGTTACATTCACGTGTAATAGTTACAGTATATTTTAAAATTATAACACTGACTGTGACACCCTCATACAGACATGAAACATTAAATGAAGTATGTACATTGAGTACACTATGATAGCACAAGGTGCAAGCACAATGACTGCAACAGGCATAGTTAGCACATCCCTGCTTTGTGTAAACAATGTCTAATTAAATTAAACAACACTAAAGACACAACTGCTGCACTCCAAGGAATTCAACAGACACAGGGATAAAATATTCACATTGGCTATGTCCTAAACAGGCACAATGTTTTTGTATATTAACTGCGGAAGCAGTAAGGATTATTTGGAAAATTGATGATAAATTGCTATAGTACTAACTGTTGACAGCGACCCATTCATTGAGATCCTCTCCCTCGGGTAGCATTACGGCAAGCCGCAGGTTACCAGAGCCAAGTGTGGCAGCGGCGTGCCGCATCAGGTCGTACTGGTGTGTGCCCTCGGGGATATTCTTTTTTGGCTTAAAAGTCTTGTTGGACCGACTTCCACTGCAACACGTCATAGAACAAATCCATTATTACTGTAATATAACATAATGTAGCAGTACGCTTTTACATCTGTGTTCTCTTTCAGAACTTTTTTCAGTTAAAATACTTAAAACATTACGATGATGTGTACCGCTTTTTGTTTGGGAAACTAAGAGAGCTGATAACTCCACAAGAGTTTAAGTAGCGTGCATCGTTGTATTTAAGAGGCCAAAGCTGGCAGGCTCAGCGTTCGACCTACAGCGCACCACTTCTATCTGTGCAGCGCACTCCGGACATCAGCAGACGTGTAAACAAGACGTCAGCGGAAGGAAGACGTGCAGATATAAATAGACTTTATCTTCACATTCTCCAGTAACTGTTATCCAATAACTATTACTCACAATAAAAAACTCATTTTTAAAGTAGATCAAATGTTCTTCTTAACTGAAGAAATTGACTATTAGTACAGCACTCGACCATTAAACTATTAAATTGGTCGACAGCCAATTTCTTGGTAACTTCATCGACGGAGACGAGACGGACTGTCTCACATCTTTCCAATTTGTGGCTGTGGACTGTCTGACATTCAGGGTTGCCATGCCATGCCAGATACAATGATACATTTCTTTTACGCACTTTTTTAAATCGCTCTTTTATAGGTTTGGATTCGTAGATATTGACATTTCAGTGCGTTTTAAATTTTCGATTACGGCAAATTTTAACACTTTTCAGGTAGTCAAGGTACTAACGTTTCGTATTTGGTTATAGTTTTAGAGTTTGTTATGATTTTGTTTTTTGTTAAGCCTTTGAAATTGATAACGCGTTTGCATTTTGTGCATCGGTAAAACCGTAACCGTAATGTAATATTAATATAGTAGAAAAATACTACAATAAGACAGTGAATTCCTTTATTTTACTTGTTTTAAAAAATGTTGCTTACCTAAAAAAAATTAAGACTAATTTTTACTCGACTTCAAATCAGTGTTGGGCGTTAATCAATTAAATTTCAATCAATAATTCAAACAGATTAAAAAATCAATTCAATTGAAATCAATTGCGACGCGATGCACTCTTTTTAATGTATCAATGTGCACATTGTAGCTAGGGTTCCAAATTACGCTTTCGAACTCCAAAATGCTCCTCACAAAAGATGAGTACAAAGTTTTAAAAGTAATGGCTTTGCGGAAAGGCTGCGAAATACCTAGAATGAAACCGAGCAATTTAAATGGTTTAGAAATAATATTGTCGATATGATAATTGAAGTGTAACCCAGAATCGAAGACCACACCAAGATCCCTAATTTGGTTAACACGTTTAACATTAGTGCCATTTAAAATATAATCAAAAACTATAGGATTATTTTTACGAGTGAAGGTAATCATATGGCATTTAGCAGAATTGAGGTGTAGGTGATTGCTAACACAGTACATAGAGAATTGATCTAGATCACTTTGCAACTCTAAACAATCACTGTCTTTAGTTATAATTTTAAATATTTTTGTATCATCAACATAAACAAAGTGTAGTGAATTTATGAAGATACCGTCAAAATCATTGATAAAAAAGGGTGAAAAGAAGCGGACCGAGATGAGACCCTTGAGGCACCCCGGAAGGTACAACCAGGAAGTCAGAAATACAGCCTTTAAGAGACACAGCCTGAGTACACTTTTCAATGTAAGATTTAATCCATCGAAGGAGATCTCCATGCACACCGAGCGTCAGAAGCTTATTTAAGAGGATACAATGATTTATTTTGTCGAAAGCCTTCGAGAAATCCGTGTAGATAGCATCAACCTGAAAGCCTGATTCCATAGCATTAAGTATGAAGTCCGAATAAAACAATAAATTAGTTTCCACACCACGTCTGTGGAAAAAAATTTGGACTTGCAAAACCGGGGGAAACCTTTTTCTTCGACGATCACACTATTTTTGTATTCTAGCCCTTTAGGGCAAAATGCGAGGTGGCTCGAATTATGTGCCCGGGAGTATATTTTATTTACTCATGATTCTTTCTCTCTGTTGTCCAAATATTTTAAATGTCGTTTTACTGTATCTTGCTTTTAACTGTACAATTTAATTTTACAATTCACGTTATATAAAACTTCAAAAGATATGTCTAAACGTAGAACATAATATGAATCTTCGAATATTTTTCAATTTTTCTCAATTTTTTTTTTGGAAAACCACTAGAAATGTGAAATTTTCGAAAATTTTTTTCAACAGCGCTGTAGGGTAAAGTTGACATTAGCAAAAGTTTATTATATATATTTATTCTTTATGATGAAAATTGGAAATTAGCAATATTGAATTATTCATTTGAGCTTTTCTTAAAAAAAAAAAATGCATTTGGCCACAGAGTATAGTTAATATTCTATAGATTTGACACTGACAACGCGAGTCGAGTCAAAAGGTTTTGAAAAGATACATTTTACTCGTTTACGAAATAAAAAGGTTATTGTGTGGTTCTCGCAAGTTCTAATTCAACAAAATGCAGGGCTTAAGCATACAGAGTTTGAAGAAACATAAAGCAGTAAGTTAAAAATAATTTGTTGCAGTAAAATGCGTATCAGCTTCTTACATAATTAACCTCTATTTTCTTTCGTTTTATTTATGGCATTTACGTGGTCGAAAAGAGCTGAGTATCTCTACTGAGTAATTGCGAAGCTTCCACGCTGCTATCTGTGTTACACAGTCGAGTACCCTTGATAAGACAAATGTTTGTGCGCAGTTGATCCCCCTGTATGTATGCACGGCACTGGGGTGCGGTGGCGCGCTGTTTTATCTGACGCGGCTGGCGCTGCGCTCGCCTGACGTCTCCTGGAATAAACGTACCAACCCAGAGCCTTGGCAGGAGTACAGGGCTAAGCAATACAAGGTATAATTTGGTGCTTATCAGACAGATTAGAATGAATATACCATTTGGCCTAAATGACGGAATATCGAGTAATCTTAGCATTAAGGTATATAATTGTAATAATGAGTATTATATAAGGGATGCACAGATCCCCAAGAGCAGGATTTGGATTCCCGCTCCCTGTTTTTTTAAACTACTTCTGTGGAATGTGATAAGAGTATTGTGCAATACCACCAGAGACCACTAACCCTACTCTCTCTGTTCTCAGTTCTACTCACCACTGCACGACTCAAAGGAAGAGTCCCCTGCTCCCAAGTTCTAAGCCTTAATGTTTTATCAACAGTATGTCACTGCAGACTAGATTGTTTTAATTTAATAAATAGAAATTATGTGATAATATACTTAAAGTATTTTTATTTCATTCACTTCTCAGCATGAATTCATCAATCGGTAGTATAGGTTGATTTCATAAGTACAGAATTATTAAGTAATAATAATGAGCAGAGGAATGAAAACCACAGACATTTATATCTAGATGAAAACTGACAAATTGCATTTCGGCATATTTTTTTTAAAGTCAAAGTCAAATAATAATTTATTCCATAGGTAAAACTTTTACACTTGAAAACGTTATTTGTAAGCTACTGCTTTTTAGGCTACTGCTCGTTCACTACACTGACCTCCTTGAGAAGAACGAGCAAACTAGGGATTGCTCTTTTCAAATAAACTTAAATGCTATGGAATACACTTTGAATCATAATTGTGTGGAATCTAGACTCTAGTCTTTACATACTTCTTTATCTAAAACATACTCTTCAGTTTTGTAATATGATTTTTCAATTAAAATACTTTTTATGTAAGATTTAAACTTAGGGAATGATAAACTTAATATATTCTCTGGAATCTTATTGTAAAAAGTATACAGTTCCCCATAAAAGAATCGTTTACTTTAGTTATATGAAATCGTGGTACCGTGAGTTTGAAGTTAGTTGTAACGTTAATATTATGAATGTCTTCTTTCTTAATGAAATTATGTATATTTTACGGGCATGCAAAAGATTTGAGGAAATGTACTGTGATGCCACAGTAATGATACCAGTCTCCTTCAAACTTTTCTCTCAGAGAAACTCGAGAACCTAAACGGTACACAAAACGAATCGCTCGTTTTTGCAACACGAATATGGTTTGTATATCTGCCGCTTTATCCCACATGAGAATCCCGTAGGACATTATACTATGAAAGTAGCTAAAGTAAACTAGTTTAGCAGTAGCAACATCGGTAAGCTCACGTATTCTGCGGACTGCATACGCAGCAGAGCTTAATCTGCTGGCCAAGGAAGATAACTATGTGGAAACCATTGAAGTTTACTATCTAAGGTCACTCCCAAAAAAAAAACAGCTTTATTAACCAAAGTCTAATTTTTCTCCATTTAT